TTTTATTAAAATATATCCATAAACAAGCAAACTACAACAGTTTATTCTCCATAAATTTTCAATAGTTTAAATAATCTCCCTAACCGTTAGTCTTACAACAACGCTTAAATGTACAGAATTGTTGATTTTATAGCTAAAACCGGGTTTTCCTAGGCGCTGAAGTGGAGAGGGGAGAGAGGAACGCGGAGAGCGGGCTCCACTTGTCTTAGGTAATTTAATGTTACTGTTTTCCTAGAAGCGGAGCGGAACACCATGTTAATCTCTTTTCCGCTTTCCGCATTCCTCTCTCCGCTCTCTGCTCCCACGCCTAGGAAAACCCAGCTTTAACAAAACAGTGTGGGAGGGAATTGTGAAATTTATGTTTTAGGGTCAAAAATAAGAAAAAACCCAATTTTATACCCCATTAAAGCCCCTTAAACCCCCTTTCCCATAGGCTGATCATTCTGATTTGCGAGCTCGTTTAAATTAACGTTGGTTTAAACATTTGTACCAAATGTCATTAAAATCTCATAATTTGTTCTCAAGTTATCACGCTAATGGGCACATACCTATTTAAATCCTACTAATATTATAAATGAGAAAGTTTGGATGTATGGATGTATGGATGGATGTATGGATGTATGTTAGTGACAAGTGAACGCGAAAAATACTGGTCGGATTGGGCTGAAATTTGGCATGATGATAGCTCACATTCCCGATTAACATATAGGCATATTCTTATTTCAAAAATCCTTTCGGGCTCCGCCCCAGTGGCTCTGGAGTTTCCCATGTTAACCTTATGAGAAATGGAATTATTGAATCTTAACAGCTGTTTCAACTAAACAAGGTGGTTCTGTTCTATGATGTTCAATAGCATTAAAGTTACAAGGATTACCAACAGGGTGCAGCACTATTATTTCTTTTACATTTATGACAACAGCTAATTTGCAACCAAAAGGTGAGTGAGCGTAGCGAACGAACTTTCAACCTGGGGCGAGTTAGCGTAGCGAACGAGCTAACCTGAAGGCAAGTGAGCGCAGCGAACGATCTCCAACCTAAAGGTGAGTGAGCGTAGCGAACGAGCTCCAACCTAAAGGTGAGTGAGTGTAGCGAACAAACTTCAACCAGGACGTGATTGAGCCATGCGAACGAGATAATCTTGAACATTAAGAAGTTAAACGGGGCAAAGCCCGCGGGATACAGCTAGTATAAAATATATACACTGCATATGTATATAGATACATATGTACCTTTATATATGAATTTGAACGGAGGGTGGTTTTGCATCTGGGGACCTCAAACCGAAAAATTAAGTCGGTCTCGGGTTTTGGTCCTACCATTTAACCTAAGGTAATAGCTAATTCCCTTATATTAAAAATTGGCTAAAATAAAGAGAATATGGACTGAATTAACTGAAACAACATTGTTTATAGATGCCGTATTTTAATATTGTAACTTTTATGTAGTATTTTTTTATGAGCATAGCTTTGGCGAGCTGATGACATTGAAAACTATGCACGACATTTGAAAAATACACGAGGTTTTGGTTTCCTGTTATACAAGAAAAGTTAAATATCATATATGCTACAGGACACATGTTAACATGTCAACACTTATTTTGTCGATACAAATATTTGTATTTTAAAAGTATATTTTCCATATCTAACAATTGCCAGTCCAAAACTAAACAATATAGATATGAAAATAGAGCAGCAAAGGGGGTGTGAGCGAGCGACTTGTCGCCTAGTATGGCCGGTGCCATAAGATAACATGGGGAGCGTATTTGTCGCCGCGACCGAAAAACGCTTCTGGTCGCGTTTATTTTTCTGTCGCCAGTGGTCACTGGTCGCGAGTCGCTTAGTGTGGCCGCCTCCATTTAATTTAATGCTACGCACTTCCATTCATTGACGCCGCGACAAAGTCGCCAAGTGTGGCCCCAGCCTGAGACATGACCTTGCCATATATGGTATTTGCATCAAGAGACAAATACTGAGACATGGCCTTGACATATAAGTTATTTGCATCTAGATATAAACACCGAGACATGGCCTTGCCATATAAGTAATTTGCATCAAGAGACAAACACTCGGAGGAAAAACGGTCTTGTACATGGATACAGACAGCTTTGTGTTAGTAAAAAAATCGGGGTTGTACAGTGATACAGACTTGTTTTGTTGGTAAAAAAATCAGTGGCGGCGATAGCGGGCCCGCGAGCTAGGGGGGCCCGTGAGCCTTGACCGGGATTTTCGGTAATTGTTACCGGCACACAGGCCCGCTATAGTGTGACAGGCTCAGCCACACGGGTCCCCTATCATAACAATTTTTATATGAGAATTAATTACATTTTTTATGATGAAAATTTGTTCAAACCTCTAGTTCAAGTAGTTTACAACAGCTAAACTAACACTATTACTTGACCGATCGATATAAGTTATCTACCAACCTAAGTAAAAGAATTGTCATCAGTCATGCGGGTTGCATTAACTGTCCTCGAGTGAAAATTTAAAAACGTACGTTTTCATGTCCCTGGCCTTTTACTTCGTAGATACTGGATTTGTAGTTTATTATTATGTGTTTTAATATTTTTTGGGACAGGGGCAACATGTTACACACATTTATTTGGTTTTAAATAGGTTCTAGGTATTTTTTTCATATTTTTAAAGTCTCGAAATTCACGACCATGACGTGTCCCTAGGGTACATTTTCCAACTTTCACGCTGTTTTTAGACTAATTATTCATGCCGAAATATATAAAGACATATTTTTATGTCATCAATGGTTATTAAACTTACAAAAAAGGAGCATATTATAATTTTATTGTCATTACAAACTGACTACCATGACAAAATAAGTCTGTCCCTCGATTTGGCGTCACGACCATTTGGGAAAAATTTTCAACTTTGGAGCACGACAGTGGCAAGCCTGGCGTCGATGGAGTCAGTTGGTTTTAGAGACTAGTTCGGGGTGTACGTCAGGATTGTAGTGCCGGTCGTTTCGAGTTGAAAGGAGGAAATACAAGATTAATAAAGGAAAGATTGTGTTTTTTGTAATTTTGGTGTGTCCATGACCGTACGTAGTCATTCGATGAAGTAGACATGGTGTTAATTTTTGTTTATAAGATATTTCAATTGCTAGATTAACCTAGAAGTCAACTTTGTATCCTCGAACATGAGGTGCAGGGCTACTGCCAGAACAGAGCCAAATAACACGTAATTTCACGACCAAAGTTTCACGACCATCGCGGGTTTTTTCACGACCAATCCAGCCTTATGGATTATAGTGTGTTTGGTCGTGACAATAACTTTAATATAATTGTAAATTGAACAGTTTAGTTAAATTGAAACACATATTTTTATTATAACTAACAGGATAATTGAAGGATTGTTTAGAAAGATTTAGATTATTCCAGACAATTCACGACCGTACCGCTTGTCCCTGACCATCACGTTTATGATTTCTATCATAAAAATTTCAAAAATTAAAATATCATCATATTTCAATGTTTTATACACAAAAGAAGCACACCTCTATACAAACATAACGATTTTTCGGGTCTCAGGTAAGTTTTTTCGGAGTTATACAAACTTAAAATGATTTTATTGGTTTTTTTTCAATTTTTTGAGTTTTTTTATTTTTTTCTAGAAAGACCAAATATACCAAAAGCTCAGTGACCTTTTACTTTCTCCCCCTATACCATAGTATATGGAGAAAGTATTGTTTTCGTCAAAATTTTTGAGTTTGAGTTTTGAGTGGATATATTCGTTTTGGGTCCCCCTGGACCCAAAAAAGTGGTTTTCGAAGTGATGTCTGTGTGTGTGTGTGTGTGTGTGTGTGTGTGTGTGTGTGTGTGTGTTGGGGAATGATACATTGTGAGATCCGACGTATGGTTACACACCAACAACGTGAGCTCCGTTTTCAATGTGAGCTCCGACCCCCCGGAGCTCGGATTGAGAAAGCCTCTGATTCGATGTCCTAGTGACTTCGGCATCACGGAAATACCCGAAATAGCTCGAACTAGGTCGGAGCTCATTTTACTGCTTTTTACCAAAGTGTGCGAGTGTATAGCTTCATAAAATCGACACCACGTCGCGCTACGATCGCGTTTACACTCTTCGATGCACACCAACATGGTTCCACACAGTCAATGTGAGTTCCGCTATTGTTCTGACTTCCGCTCCGCATTTAGTTGTTTTCAGCGCGTTATTCTCGAATTTCTAGTGCCAGAACGCGATCCAGACTACTGTATATCCATGTCGTATTTATAGGCACTGAGGAGGGGGGAGGTAGCTTCGCCGTCAGCATAGCATTGTTGTAGTCTGTTGCGTTCTCCAGCTGTGTTTACCGCTGAAAATAAAATATTCTTTAATTTATGATAAGGATAAATTGCATAAACCAAAGCCTTTTCTGAGGGTATAGTAATGATTTCCCCGAGCAAAGCTTAGTACCCTGGTACTTATTTATTTTTTTCAAGTCGATCTACCAATTCTCCAAATCAGTAATCAATAGTCAGCTATCTTGAAACAGCTGTTCCGTCGTATGTTCTTTAAAATGCTTAATTGTATCCACAACTAACTGTTTACATTTCATTTCAGTATTAAGTTTTTTTTTTTAATTTTATTTCGGGACGTGATTTTTATTTCCTTCCCGATTGTTTGGGGTAAAACAACTAGGTTAAATATTATTGCAGATAGCAATAATATTGAAAACAAGCATCGTACTAAAAACAATTCTGTATTAAAATTAAACAAGTACAGTAACAAGATCTGTTGTTGACTAAACAAATTTAATTTTTGGTTCAATTAACTATGAAACATAAATATAATTATAAAACACCAAATGCTAACCTTATATAGACATTTAACGTGAATACGACACGAATACAACTACATAAAAAAACTTGAGTAAAGTCTTAAGGCCTGATATATGGTTACTTGTAAAACAGCAGTAGAGTTTAATCAGGCAGGCCCAATCCTAAATATTTTAACATGTGCCTATCACAATGTCATTATTTTTGCATGACTTTAATCCTCAATTGTGACATCATTGTGAAGATCTCCCGTGATGACGAACCTCCAAGGACAGTATTCTCCCTTACTACTGAAGCTGTGGCATGAATTTGATAAGGAGAAGCGTGAGTTCAAATATTTCTGAAGTTATAATCGTTATATAGGAGTGGTTGCACTTAGTATGAATATTAAACTATACACCAACTGAGTTCTGTTTGAATTTTATCCTTGTATTTTTGAAATACCATAGTTGACTGTGGTTTAATTGAAATCTGTATCCATTTATTAATTATCACACAGAGAGCTTCTTCTATCGCTAAAGTTGAAGCTGATTGGGGAGAGTCCATCAGCCAGTCTTACACCCACATTTATTCTAAAGGGTTCCGAAACTCTCCCATTTACTGACTACAGAACATGTGGCATCTGCTACACTCCCTTGTTCTAGCAAGGTTTATATGTTTTTTTAATTCTATATGCTATTTAAAAACCAATCAATATTGTAAAAAAACCTATAAAACTTTATTTTTCAACACAAGTGGCTTTATATTACTTTGTATACCTAATTATATCATTACTGAATGATGAACAAAAACGGACAAATCAAAACATGTTCTTAAACTGACAGTAGAAGTAAAACCATTGGATTATGGATATTGAACCTTTCCTGTTAAATCACAATTGTTTTTTTTTTTCAGATTAAAATATTATAATGATATAGGCCTACAAATTCTGTTTAGGGTTAGGTTATGTTAGTTTGGATTGAGTTAGGTTAGGGTAGAACCAAGATATTGTTAAACTTCTATTGTGTATTTTAAAATATAAATTATATAGTTGATGTGAATTAATGGAAACGGTCCTCGGTATTAAAATTGACATCCAATTTTTATGGACTATGACAGAGTGTGCTTCCTTTGACTACTAAATACAACTTCAGTATCCAATAGTCAATGTTGTTACTGTCTAAAATTGTTTTTTTACTGTGATAGTTGGTGTGACAAAAAAAGATGCTATAATTAATTAAAGACAATTTCCTTCAGTTTGACTTGGTTAAAAAGATGGTGTATTCAACTTAACCCAATAATTTACACCAGCACATTCTGTTACTGGCTAAATTCAACTAACTAAAAAAAAATTAACCTGGGAATAGAATGCCTAGTCCTATCCTTAGTCAAAGATATAAACAATTCTTTTCCTAACTGAAAACTGAAAAACATTTATTAAGATGTTACTCACTCAGTTATAATAAGTTCAGAGAGAACCTCATCATAGCGTTTCTGCACCGAGCCGTTGACCATTTGGGCACCTTCAATTGGTATTATTTTGATAACAGATCTCCCTTCACCTGGTCTTTCCAGCATGAAAACCTCTCCAAACACTCCTTCTCCAATCTTCCGTCCAGAACTTAAGACCCTGTAGACGACATAATACTGATTCATACAATTATTGGAGACTGTCCATTGGTTACTCATTGGCACAACAAATTAACTGTTATTTAACTGGGACGTTTTCAGATACTGTACATACCAAAATTAGTTAGATTACTCTTTCATTTTTTCCTTTTAGAATTTTGTGTGGATTCTAAACCTTTACAAATCCCCATTACTATGCTTAGTTGCTCAGGTCTATTGCAGGTGGTTAGATGCTCAGGTTAGGTACTAGTGTATAACTAACTCTACTGGTCCCATTCAAAGTTTTTAAACAATATATCCAAACTTACTCATTCGGGAAAGCTTCAGAAAACGTAATCGGAGCTTGCTGTCCACACTGGAGCAGAAACCCGAATTTCCCTATAGCTGCTGCAACTGCTGCAACTTGGTTCTTCAAGTTTTCAATTTCATCTTTAACTGCTGCATCTTGGTTCTTCAAGTTTTCAATTTCATCTTTAACTGCTGCATCTTGGTTCTTCAAGTTTTCAATTTCATCTTTAGCTGCTGCAACTTGGTTCTTCAAGTTTTCAATTTCATCTTTAACTGCTGCATCTTGGTTCTTCAAGTTTTCAATTTCATCTTTAACTGCTGCATCTTGGTTCTTCAAGTTTTCAATTTCATCTTTAGCGTGAGAAAAAATATAACAGATTAATATCCTATCTTTAAAATATAGATTAAAATAAACTGTCTTCCTAGAACCTAAATCTTAACTAGATCTTAACATGCGAGATTGCAGCTTTTATTGACTTTTTTGTTTCCATATTTTGATACTAGTACAGGACATTATAGGAGTCAGATCTGTTTATGGGACGTGAAAGAAATTTAACAAATGGAATCACAAGTAAATTTGATAATATTTTAAATATTTTGTGCAATAATAAATACCTGAATTCTAAATGCAAAATCAGAGTTAATTTAAAATATTAGAATAAATCTGAATATTAATATAATGTTTTCCTCAAATTTTCATTTTTTTAGTTTAAACACTAAAAATTAATTGTTATGATAACATAATTTTTATGTTCTGTATTTGTTGGTTGGTTATTTAATGCTAACATTTCACAATATTTCTACAAAACTAGCAGCATTTTACCTAAGCAAGACATGTAAAAGTTATATTCCTCATCTACCGGCTCTTTTTCTTCCTCTTCATCCCAAAGAATACTCCTTTCTGAAAATGAAGATAAGACAGCGTAAGAACGGGAGTTTCAACAAAGTTAAAAAAATACTCTAAACACAATATCTGATTTTTATTGGTAATAAAACTCCTTGTGAAATTTGACTAGCGACCTTGCTAAAAGCACTAAATAACTTGTCATTACTATTCATGCAAATAATTATCGACAAAATTGATATATTTTGAACTTTTTTTTATATAAAACTGAACTGTGATCCTGTGAACTGTGAATATTATAGCAATCCGTTTTAAATTTAAATCCATAACACATACGTAGACAAAATATTTATGTTTTAGATGTATTCCTACACCTACATAAAGTTATAAAGCTAAATTTTAGTCTCAGTTTAAAGAAGAATAAATAGTGTATTTTAAACTAAAACTATGTTTTTTTGTGTGTAGTGTGCCGGGAAGTATGTCTTGAACAGTATGTATGCATAAAAGTATGTCAGTGAATTATTTGTAAACAGTTAAAGAGTAAATTAAATCAGACTCACAGACTACTGGTTTAAACACATGTTTTCCTGGTTCACATAAATATGAATTGGTCCTGCCAAACTGAATACCATATATAGTTATAGATGTTAGGATAGTGAATCACTGTATTTAAAAACTTTACAATACTCACTTTTATTATTATTAACTAAGAGATAAGGAACTACTTTCATCCTACACACAACCACCGGCAGAACACTATCCCTGAAGTTGATTATGATTTGACATGTTTGACAGAGCTACGTCACAGCTGACATGCTAGGACAGCTGATTGTCAGAGTTACCAATGCATCGGTTTAGTGCATCACTACTATAAGAGGTTACATTCCAATGTTTGTCAAGAACTGCTGATAAGAGAGTCCAATATTTCTTATCATTGCCCTGTGTATCACCTGTTATCTTTGATGGTCACTTTTGAGCAAAATAGCAGGATGTCTGCTGTTGATAATAGCAAACACAAATATAAACTAGGTGAAAAAGTGTTTGCTAAAATAAGGGGTCATTCTCACTGGCCTGCTTTTATTGATTCTCATGAAGCAAACTTGAAGTATAAAGTCATCTTTTATGGAACATCAGAATCAGCTATTATTAAGGAAATAAATATTTGTCCTTATTTAGAAAATAAAGCACGGTATGGGAAACTGAAAAGTAAAAATTTTCTAAAGGCTATTAAGGAAATAGAGATCTCATTTAGAGATATTCAAAAATTGAATAAGTCTCAAAATAGGAGTGCAAATAGTACAAATCAAAATGAATCTACCATCATAGTTGATGAGCCCTCTGCATTTAGTAGCCCTTTGCATCCACCTAGGTCTTTTCCTAACAATACTGACATGACAATAAGTAGCAATGTTGATGAAAATAATGTAAGCAAACCTGTCAATACTTGTGAAGTTAAAGGGTGTGAAGTCCCCTTGATTGATCTGACAAACAATTTACCCTTAAATACTGAGGTTGTATCCACTGGTATAAATACCATCAACAAACAAAATGATCTTTGCCTGTCTCTGATAAATAATGAGTGGCTGACTGATGAAGTTTTCATGAAATATTTTGAATTATTGACATTGAATATAGTAAAAAATAACCAAATTTTATTTATAAATCCGGTAATTGCTCAGGCAATTAAATGTTTAAAAGACATTGATTTTATCCTGGAAAATCTAAATATGTTGGAGAGTAAACACATTCTCATACCGGTTAATGATTCACCAGCAGTCGACAAACCGGGGGGCTCAGGCTCTCACTGGAGTTTGCTGGTATTTGTGTCAGCCCAAAGCAAGTTTCTACATTTTGATTCGGCTGGAGCCGCTAACTATGAACATGCTCTACAAATTGCCAAGTCACTGCATAATTACCTACGAAATAAAGGGCCTTTGGATCTATCAACTGTTTCTGTCTCCAAACAACTTAATGCATATGACTGTGGGGTATATGTACTTATGTATGTAGACATTATCGTACAACTAATTCTACAGGAAAGGCCATTCGATGCTTGGAAATCACTGCTCCCAGACATCACTGAATCGGACCTACTGACAAAGAGGGGACAGCTAGCTATATTATGCAATGGCACTCAGCTTAAATTGACAGCAGATGTAATAAGCACTTTAATGGTGAAACCGAAGAACAACTTTAGAGTGACTCCTGCAGCAATTATAGACAGAGGATGTGAAAGATCAGCTACACAGCTCAACATTAGTAGGTCTACTCAATCTAATGTTCATCAAATGGTTGAGAGAAATAATATAGTGCAAGAATGTAACAATGGTGGCTTTAGGCATCAGAAGAATGCATATAGACCTAAACATGCTGTAACTTATTATCCAACAATATAGAATAGGTTTTCTTCACTGGATAATCATCAACCAGAAGAAGAAAGGTTACCAATTCATGCAATGCCTTCATATAAGGACAGAGTTATTTGCAGGGACAGCACTTCTAAGAAAACCAAATATGCAGCAAAACTACATCGAGACAACAAACAACGATCATCAGATACAAATATGGTGAATTTATCAAACAGAAATGGGAGTCAATCTTGGTGTTCCAAATTACATGTGTTTGCAGATAGCCACGGCAAAGATTTGGGAAACTTAATCAAATCATTGATGCCTCGATCCACTGATACCTTTGTTTTAGCAAGCTCAGGAGGTAAACTGGATTACATTGTAACAATTTCTCCTGGGCTGTCACAACCTAACTTTGGCTAGCTCAGATAGTTCAGGGTGGTGGGTCAGTTAGATTAGTAAGCAGGTAACCAAAATTCTTAACGTAAATGTTAAAGTGTCGATCTGCCAGGAAAACAAACTATACTGTTAAAGTATGCAGCTATTTATTTATTTATTTTTCCTAAGAAAGCATCAGGAATATATATATCAATATCTATAGAGAAATACCTGTAACAATTAGCAAAACATAGGCCTAATATCAATAAATACTTATTTTACATTAATACAACAGTCCATCCGCTGAGACGATACAATAAACAGGTCCTGGATCAAAAGTTCACACCTAGAATATGACGATACGCACAGGTCCTGGATCAAAAGTCACACGTAGAAATAATAGTTGAAAAGTCACTCACCGATTTGTAGAAATATCTCTGAGCTCAGAAACAAACCAAATTTTACGGTAGCCGCACAGACAAACGGTTGCGCTTGACTCCACCCAAAAACCAAGAGTCCAGTAGAGGTACAAAAAGGTAGGTCAGGTGCAGACAGTAGTGAGGCGTAAGTGGGTGACTCAATAGTAGCCTCCAGGTCCAACAATGGTGTAGTCCACAGCACATCAGCCAGAACTCAAGATCCGGAACAAAAGACCCTGCGCATGATACCACTTTTATAGTTTGGGCCCTATTGTTACACTTAATTCCAAAAATATAAGAATAAAAAAAATATATTAAAGTCACAAAATCAGTTTCAGTTATTATACAGCAAGAACATTTCCTTATGACACAAAGATAAATTCTTTTCAAAGATAAAAACAGGTTCAAGGCGTTATCTAACTCATATCAGAACATTGGTAAAATTATTTCACTTTATGAAATTAAATCTGTTAATTTTTTTGTGTACAGATACCTAATAAAATGTACTGTACTTTAATACAACTCTGCCATAGTAATGAAGTTTTTTTTGTATGAAAATGTATAACATATATTACCACAACATACTTCTCACTCTAACATGACTAAATTGTAACAAAGTTTGACATACCAGTTGAATTATAAAACCATTTTAACATAGACCATTTAAAAATAGAACATTTGAACATAAAACATAAACTACTTTTACTTTTACTAGTGTGAAATTTCAAGCATTTAATTCAAGATTTAAACATAATTACTGTGAATCACTAGAAACAAAATAAACTTTCTTTTTGACTCAAAAATACTAGTATTAAGATTTTGTTTGCTAATCAACTCATTGATATACTAGTTTGGTTTAACTGCCACTTCATTAATTAATAAATGCACTTGTTTATCTACCACAGAGAAAATATTCTTTAAATACACAATATTACATTGACTGACAAAATAAACACTTTAAACATATAACATATTATTTGATAAATTGTAACCATAATCTACTTTGTGATAGGCTAGAGAGGGACTAACATTTTCATTAAATTGTATTCACAAGAAATAGCTAGATGACAAATAGACATTTTCAAAGTAATATTTCATATTTAACAATTTACATTTTTTTTATTTATTGGACATTCAAAACAACTAACACCTATCATTAAATCAAAATTCAATTTAATGTACAACAGCTCAATAAAAATATTAATTTACAGAAAGTCATTTTTTTTTAGACAAAAATTGTTGTGAACAAATTTAATATTTCTCAACAAGGATGGTTATTACAACAATTAAATATTCTATGATTTTATAAAAACTTTACTTTAGGATTTCAACATTGCATGATATTGAAGGTTTAAACATGAAAACTAATCACATGGGAACAACCTCAACTTTTAAAGAATTATTTCACAAATACAGTATTTTTGTACAGTTAAATTTAAAGTAACATAAAAAGATGAACATATATTTTAGAGACTAATAGACCTTTTTGAGAACTTAAATTAATTATTAGGGCAAACTTATTTTTTTTTGTATAGCAGAGCAAATTGACAGTTTAACTTTTAATTTATCAGAAAACTGTAAATTGAGGCCTAATTGGATGTAAATGAACGTTTTGTCAGCCAAAGCAAAATAATATTTGTTGGACACCTGCTCACCTCTAAAAATCTTCTTAGAATTTTTGAAGTTCCACTGTAGTGTAGAAGGTCTTCTCAAGGTTCTTTGCTGGTCCAAGGAACATGTAGAACTGGTCAACTACAGGATTGTCTATGCTCAGGATTGAACCTGGTTAGATATCAGCTGGTCACCAACTGCTGACCCTATGGGACTTTGTCTCTATGACTCTTATCTACAGGGTAGGGAGGATGTAATTGTCACCAGCTAGGATTTTAAATTATCCAACGTTGTTTGCATG